TCAGAAACTAATGGTGACAGTTTGTGGCCTGCCTGGTAGCTAACAATGTGCCAAAATATCAGAGACTCAACTAACAGCCCATAGGCTCATACGTGTCAGCAGCAAGCCATGTTGTTTTAAATACTTTTTATAAAGATTTTGAGTACCTTTCTCCAAATTAGAAAAGGAAGCTAAACCACCATAAGCTACAAATCAATGGCATGCTTGAATTTCAGTCGGATAAGTTACTGATTCTTCATTTTGTCACTTTCTCTGGAATGCTTCTTGACATGCATTAAACTTTAAGCTTTTGCCTTTCAGTTTCACCTTCCATTAAAATGTAGACATAGGAACAGATGGCAAATGTCATCATTTTGGAAAATTGTCAACTTTTTATTCATCCTTGCAACTCCAAATTCAGGGATCACTTTAATGCAATTTCTCAGAGGACTGGATCAGAGGTTATATTTAAACATCCAAAAGAATTGCAGGTCAGTGCTTTTGAAATTCAAATTACAAATGTGACACACTATTTTAACACAACAACAAATAATGAAAATGACTGTTTTAATACAGATGTTCAGCATGACTAACATTCAGATGAATGAAGGCCCCACATTTATGGGTCTTATATAATCACCTGATTTTTTTTACATGACACATACGAAATATGAAATTAAGTGATGGTCCAGTATGAGCAGGTGGTTTAAACAAAGTATTTCTTACCTATACTAGTATGGCAATTATTCATCAATACCCAGAGAAAACCTTTAATTCTGGTAGCAATGATGTCTGAATGTAAACAGTTCACTACAACCTAAGAAAACAAGCACTGCCCAAGATGTATTGGTTCTTTTGAAAAGTGTGAAATTTTTCTGACATTACTTTCTGAATTAAAACATTCATTCATCTATTCGTTTATAGTAAGTCCAACTTCTAATTAATTCTAATGTAATTGTGCTTTGAAAAGTTTTATTTTATATTTAACTCATACATGTTTTTGAGACATTTTAACACCCTATAATGACTGTGACCATGGTCCAAAATAAGCCACAGTATAGTGCAGAGGGGATTTGTAGGACACAGCAATGATTAGTGCTAATAAAAATGTCAGAAGTAGAAGAATTTTTATTAGAAAAAGTATTAGGTAATTTTCAGACTTTTTCAAATTTCAAAGTAGACTCCTTTAGAGTTTTCATTGAGTAGCAAAGAACTGAAATTCAGAAAAGTAAGACAAAGAGATTCAAAAATGCCATCCTTCCTTACAAACAGCTTTGTATCTTTCAAGTAGGCTGTGACTCATAATCCATGAAGGGATAAACATAATATTTAAACTGAGATTTTTAACTGTTATTTTTTTAGTTACCTATTTATTTATTTACATTTCAAATGTTGTCCCTCTTCCTGGTATCCTGCCATTTGTCTCTAAGATGGTGCTCCCACCACCCATCCACCCACTCTTGCCTCACCCCTCGAGCATCCCTCTTAGCTAGAGCATCAAGCTTCCACAAGACCAAGAGCCGCCCCTGCTACTGATGCCAGATAAGGCAGTTCTCTGTTACATATGTAGCCAGAGCTATAGACAGACTCATGCATACTTCTTTGAATGGTAGTTTAGTCCCTGGGAGCTCTGAGGGGTTCCTGTAGTTGATATTGTTCTTCTTATAGAATTGCCATTCTTTCAGTTCCTTCAGTTCTTTCTCTAAATCTTCCATTGGTGTTCTCAGTCTCAGTCTGATGATGGCTGCGAGCATCAGGTGCTGACAGAGCCTCTCAGAGGATGGCTATACCAGGCTCCTGTCTGCAATCACTTATTGGCATCAGCAATAGTGTCTGGGTTTTGTGTCTTCAGAAAGGATGGATCCCAAGGTGGAACAGACTCTAGATGGCCTTTCCTTCAGTCTCTGCTCCAATTTTTTCTCCCTGAGTGTCTTTTAGACAGGAACAATTTTGAGTTAAATATTTAAAGATGGGTGAATGGCCCCATCCTTTAACTGGGGGCCATGTCTATCTATTGGAGGTGGTCTCTTCAGGTTCTTTCTCCCCAGTGTTCAGTATTTTGAATAATGTTATCTCATCTAGAACCCTCCCTCCCTCCCTCCCTCCCTCTCCCTCCTGTGTTCCTCCTTCAAATTTAGATCTAAGCATCTATTATTTGGCCTTCCTTCTTGTTAGCTTCATATAGTCTGTAAATTGTGTTGTGGGTATTCTGAAGTTTTGGGCTAATATAAACTTATCAGTGAGTATATATCATGCACATCCTTCTGGGACCCGGGTTACCTCACTCAAGGTATTTTCTAGTTCCATCCTTTTGCCTGGAAAATTTGTGAAGTCATTGTTTTTAATAGCTGAGTAATATTCCATTGTGAAATTTACCACGTTTTCTGCATCCATTCTTCTGTTGTACATTTGGGTTTTTTCCATGTCCTGGCTATCATAAATAAGGCTGCTATGAACATAATTAAACACATGTCCATGTTATATAGTGGAGTATCTTTTGGGTATATGCCCAGTGGTGATATAGCTGGGCCATAAGGTAGAACTATTTTCAATATTCTGAGCAATCACCAGAATAATTCTCAAAGTGACTGTACTTCCTTGTACTCATTTGCATCAGCAATAGAAGAGAGTTCTTTCTCCACATCCTTGCTAGCATCTGATGTTGCCAGATTTTTTACCTCGTAGCTATTCTGATTGGTGAAAGGTGGAATCTTAAGGTCATTTAGATTTCTATTTCCCTGATGACTAAGGATGTTGAACATTTCTTTAAGTGCTTCTCAGCCATTCAAGATTCCTCAGTTGACAATTCTTTGTTTTAGCTGTGTACCCCATTTTTAAATTAAGTCATTTCGGTTTCTTGGAGTCTACCTTCTTCAGTTCTTTATATATTTGGGCTATAAGCCCTCTGTTGGATGTAAGGTTAGTCAAGATCTTTTCCTAATCTGTTGCCTGCTATTTTTCCTATTGACAGTATTCTTTACTTAACAGAAGCATTTCAGTTTTATGATGTCCCATTTGTCAATTGTTGATCTTAGAGCCTGAGCAAATGGTGCTCTGTTCAGGAAAATTTCACCTGTTCCAATATGTTTGAGTCTATTTGCCATGTACTCTTCTACTAGATTCAGGGTGTCTGGTTTTACTTGGAGGTTCTTTATCCACAGATAAACTAAATAGTAATATAACCCCTAAGTAAATAGAAGCAGTCATTAAAAGTCTCCCAACCAAAAAACCCCAGGGCCAGATGGTTTTAATGCAGAATTCTATCAGACCTACAGAGATCTATACCAATACTTCTCAAACTATTCCACAAAATAGAAACAGAATCAACTCTTCATAGCTTGTTCTATGAAGCCACAGTTACGCTGATACTTATACCACACAAAGACTCAATAAGGAAAGAGAAGTTCAGACCAATTTCGCTTATGAAAATCAATGAAAAAATACTCAATTAAATTCTCACAAACCAATCTAGGAACGCATCAAAATCATCATTCACCATGATCAAGTAGGCTTCATCCCAGGGATGCAGAGATGGTTCAATATATGGAAAGCCATCAGTGTAATCCATTATATAAACAAACTCAAGGGAAAAACACAACAAATGTCATCTCATAAGATGCAGAAAAAGCCTTTGATAAAGTACAAAACCCTTTGAGGATAAAGGTCTTGTAAAGATCAGGACTTCAAGGCACATGCCCAAACATAATAAAAGCAATATACAGCAAACCAACAGCTAACATCAAATTAAATAGAGAGAAACTTGAAACAATCCCACTAAATCTGGGAGAAGACAAGACTGCCTATTCTCTCTGTGTCTATTCAATATATTACTCAAAGTTCTAGCCAGAGCAATTATACAAAAAAAGGAGGTCAAATGGATCCAAATTGAAAAGGAAGAAGTCAAAGAATTACTATTTATGAATGATATGATGGTATATATATAAAACCCCGAACCAACTTCAGCAAAGTGGCTGGATATAAAATTAACTCAAACAAATCAGGTGCCTTCCTCTATTCAAAGGATAAAATGGCTGAGAAATTAGGGAAATGATGCCTTTCACAATAGTCACAAACAATATAAAATACCTTGGTGTGAATCTGACCAAGCAAGTGAAAGATCTGTATGACAAAAATTTCATTTCTCTGAAGAAAGAAATTGAAGATCTCAGAAGATGAAAAGATCTCCCATGCTCATGGATCAGTAAGTTTAACATAGTAAAAATGACAATCTTATCAAAAGCAATCTACAGAGATTTTTAACTGTTAGTGTGATAAATGGATACTGTTTTGAAGCACCATTATTAAGTAAACTGCAAATTTTTCATTCTAGCCTGAAAAAGATGCATAAATGCACAATTAATTCCCTTAGGGATGATAATAAATACTTGTTACTAACTTTGATCTTTACCCAAAAAGACTTGGGTTCTTTTTTTATATTATTGGAAATTATCATTAACAAAACATTCTAGAACAGAACCCTTATATTCCCTAATATTGCATGAATACTTCTTCCTGTGTGTACTCAAGCACCACACACACACACACACATACACACACATACACACACATACACACACACACACACACACACACAGCATTGCCAAATTTATCTTGCAGATGTGCATGAACCAGAGGTGTCTCTGCTCTGTTTGTCTGTGAAGGGCAATAACAAAATGTTACAGCCCATTTAGCAACAAACTATGCATCTTTTCTGTAAGACTTTGCTTACATTTTATTTGCAACATTTTATCTCCTCTATAAATTTTATTTCATACTCTTTAGTAATTTCTGGCAACAGAAGTAGATACCCAGATGGTATCTCTTTACTCCATAAGCTTGAAATAATGTCTCAATATAAATTCCAATCCCAATTTTTATGATTTACATTATAAAATTTAATACATGGTAACACATGCAAATATTGAGACAATACATGTAGCTGAATGTGACATCAGGAAACTTAGTATTAAAAAACACTGTGTAGTTTCATTAAGTCAATAATAATTTAATTAAAAGAGTACCTGATGACACAGGCGTAAAGCCCACTGTCCTGTAGTAATGTTGGTCTGAACCAAATGGAGTCTTCCTCTTTGCTCATTCTACTTCCATCAAACGCGATAGGCTCTTCAAAATCTCCTGGACCAGAGCTCTTATACCACATTAAGCTGAGTCCAGCACTTTGGGCAAGAGAGTAGTTTGTTCTGATATAACCATAAAAGAGCGCACACTTGATTCTAACAGGTTCTCCCACCAAAACTTGGTACTTCTTGATATCAACAGACCAATCAGTGCATCCATCAGCTGCAGTAATAAAGAGAAGAAAGAGAAGAAAATCATTAGAGAAAAGAATTAGCAATACACTTATTCATTCATTTACTTAACTGTTTACAGAGCGTATGTGTTGAGTCAGATTTATTCTACACTCATAGAATATACAGTGATGAGTAACACAGAGATTTGTCCTCAAAAGTAGTTTACTCTGCTGCAAACATTGTATTTGTTTAGTTTTATTTTGTATCACTACGCTCATTATTTATTTACTGTTACTCAGTTTTAAATATACTATTTAGCTTGCTCTGTAAAAACAAATCCTGGTCTTGAAAATACTTTTCTCAGTTGTTTGGGATCCTCATAAAGGCTGAGCTGCACATCTTCTACATATGTGGGGAGCAGGAAGGGAGGAGTAGTCTAGGTCTCAAATGTGTATGCTTTTTGGTTGGTGGTTAAGTCTCTTAGAGCCCCAAAGGTCCAGGTTAGTTGACTCTACTAGTCTTCCTGTGGAGTTCTTATCCCAATTGGGGCCTTCAGACTTTCCTCCCAAATCAGAGTTTCCTAGGTAAATGGATGGAACTAGAAATCATCATCCTGAGTGAAGTAAGCCAATCACAAAAGAACACACATGGTATTCACTCACTGATTATCGGATATTAGCCCAGAACCTAGAAATGCCCAAGATTCAACTCACAGGCCACATGAAGCTCATAAAGAAGGAAGACCAAGTGGGGGTGATTCAGTTCTTCTTAGAAGGATCAGCAAAATACTCAAGGGAGCAAATATGGAGACAAAGTGAGGGACAGAAACTGAAGGAGGGACCATTTGAAGACCTTTCCACCTGAGTATCCATCCCATGTGTAGTCATCAAAGGTAGATGCTGATATGGAAGTCAGGAAGTGCATGCTGATAAGGGCCTGATATGGATGTCTCCTCAGAGGCCTTCAAGAGTCTGACATATTCAGAGGCAGATGCTCACAACTAGCCATTGGACTGATCATGGGGTTCTCAATGGAGGAGTTAGAGTGAGGACTGAAGGAGCTGAAAGGGTTTGTGGCACCATGAGGAGAGCAACAATACCAACCAACCACAGCTCCCAGGGTCTAAACCACCAGCCTGGGAGCACTTAGGGAGGGATCCAGGGCTTCAGCTGAATACTGAAGAGTGGAGGGCCCTGCTGGGCATAGGTGGAAGATGAGATCCTTGACCTCATGAAGCCTGGACGCCCCAGGGGGTGGGAATTTTGAGGGTGGGAAAGTGGGAGTGGGGGGGTAGGTAGGGGTTACATCCACAGAGAAGAAGGAGGAGGGGTAAGGGGATAGGGGGTTCCTGGGTGGGTGGGGGATGGGGTAAGGGAACAACATATGAAATGTAAAGAAAATATCAAATAAAAAATTATAAAAAAAAAAGAGTTTCCAAGCTCCATGCCAATGTTTAGCTGTCGGTGTCTCTATCTGTCTAAGTCAGCTGCTGGGTGTAGCCTCTCAGAGGGCAGCCATGACTGAAAGCATAACAGAGTATCATTCAGTGTAAGGCATTGATGCATGTCCATGGGATAGTTCTCTAGTTGGACCACACTCTCTGTTCCATCCCTCATCATTGTATTTCTTGTACACAGGATAAATTTTGGGTTGAATCTTTTGTGGGTAAGTTGGTGTCCCTATCATTCCACTGAAGTTCCTGCCTGGCTATAGGAAGTGACCTTATCAGGTTCCATATCTCCAATGCTGTGAGTTTCTGGCATACACTCGAGATGCCCCCACCTCCCCACCCCCACCAGTTGCAGATTTCTACTCATTGTCACAGCCATCTGGCCTTTGAGAGGTGTCTGTGAGGAGGAGCAGAGATCTGGATGTAAAGTGAATTAAAAGAAAAGAAAATAAGGAAATTTAATTTTCCAGCAATGATAAAATTCTGAAAATAAAATACATGTGCATTTAAAAATATAGTTTTCTTTTTTCTGATGTATTGAAGCTTTGTCAGTAGAGGGGGCTGGAGGGAAGTTGCTCCTCTCCCATGCTTACATCGCAGATTTTTGCAGCATATAGGGCTTCCCCAGGACTCCTAAAGTCAATGGTACCCAGCAACTTGGTTAAAAAACAAAACTATTCTTCAGGTGAGACGTCTTGTAATGAATATTTCCCCTGGGAATGTTAGAAAGAGTGTTTCTGGCAGCCCCAGGGGACAGTTGTATTGCCATCAAGTTCTGCAAATGCAGAAATTCTGTGACTTCTAACATTCAGTTAAGCATGGCACTGCTTTCTCAATAATGTAAGCATCTCTGCTCTGGTGAGAGAAAAATAATGGGATCTATTACTTGGAATTTCCATTTTATTTGTTTGAACAAGGGCAACTGGTCCACAATTAATTAAGGGTTATTTGCTGTGAACTGAATGTTTGTGTAACCCCTCCCCCTGCATACATGGAAGTAGTAACAACACACTATGCTAGTGTTTGGAGATGGGTATTTGGCATTAGATTAGGTCAGAAGGCTGTGGCTCCTTCTGATAGGATTAGTGCCCTTAGATGTAGAGACATGAAAGCTTGTTCTTTCTTCCATTGGGACTCACAAAGAGTTCATTCTGTAAGTACACAGAATGAATGTAGCCATTTATAAGTTTTAAAAAGAACCATCACTACAACTGAATTGATTGGTACATTGATATTGGAATTTCCAGGTACTAGCACTGGGAGTAATAAGCTCCATTATATAAACCACTCCATTTATTATTTATTTCTTGATATTAGTGTATCTCTTTAGTATTACAATACTCTTTTACATTTGATAATTCTCTATAATTTGATAATTTATGATAGAAATTTTGTTTGAATTTCAATGCCATTTCTTTCACTGATTAGACCTATATAGTTAACATCATAAATGAATATGTTATAGTTAAGCATTATGGGAGGAAATAAAATTGAGTTGAGCTCTGATAGCAGTTTCAAAATCAGAGACAGAAGTAAGCAGTTACTGCTTTGACTTCTGAGAACACTGAGGAAATTATAAAGTGGTGGCAAATAAAGATTCCAAGGGGTAAGATTTTGTTGGATATAAGTACCATCTCCCAAATAAAATCTTAAGACCATTGTTTTTTCAGACCAACCATCATTGAGCAGCAATAATGACCTGGGACTTGCCATATGTCTAAGCTGCTACCTACTTGCCTCAGGGGTCTAATTTTAGCATATCAGGCGTAGTCTGATATATATATATATATATATATATATATATATATATATATATAATCTTTTATTATATTATTATCCCCTTACCTGACATACATACAAAACAACAGATTTTAACATGGCTGACACAACAATCAATACTATCTGTATACTTGAGATATCAGTAATTTCCAAGGAAAAACATATGATGAATAAAAACATGATCATGTTAAGGCTTCTCAAAATATTTGAATAATTATTTAAATAAATGACAGAATTGTTTTCTCTTTCAATATTTTTGGTAGTTTGAATTATTTTCAGAAATTCTCTTTTTTTCTTTCTATGTACCCATTTTTTCATTAATTAGTAGAAACTAAATTAGGGGGATGATGACATTCCATTCTAGCATATAGCAACATCTGCTTAAGAGATGATCACATATAATTTTACTGGTACTGACCAAAATGACTACTGATATATCCAGTTCCTTTGGGTTTTCTTTATTTTAGGAAATATGTTCTATTTGGAAAAAAATCAGTAAAAATATTTCTAGATATTTTTGGTTATGTAAGTTAGCAGGTAAACCTTCAAATTTTCATCTTCTGATCAAAAAATATATTATCAAGTAATTGTGGAGAACAATAATATGAGATCTGTTTTTCTTTCTTCCAGAATAAAATCTCCTTGATTAAGAAGTTCAACCTTCAGTGAAAAGATTCCGTAAGAATAGCCTCCTTCCATGTGCCTCTGCAGTACATATTCCTTTAATACAATTGGGAGTTTATGAAGCTAGAAAACTATTTTGGCAAATAAAAGAAGAAAGCAATATCCTTATTTCTTTCTTATGCCACTCTAAAATTTGAGGGAACTTAGATGAAGGCAGTGATAGAATTGGGACTCAGAACTAATTGCTTTCCAGAGAGTTCATACTGAAGTATCATTTCATGAACAAAAGCTATATACACTGGAAAATGTCAATATATTCAAATGAGATTAGAAAAAGTATTTTAATTAAGTCACTATTCCTACATATGTAAGAGCTCAAAATATTTCCATGGTAACAAGCTTAAAGGTTGAATTCTAAAAAATAATCTAATCATAGAACTCACACATATTGCATCCTAATATGAATATGTGTCAGGTGTGGTGGCACATGTCTGTACTTCACAGACACAAGAGACTAGAGAATCAGGTGATCAAGACCAGCATGAGGTGTATGGGGAATTTAAGGTCAGTCTGTATTGCCTAGCCTGACCCTATATACAAAAAAGGGAAAAGGAAAGAAGAAAGGAAAAATAAAACTTTAAAAAGTAGTGTACCTCAGGGGTAGGGTAGGGGTGTTTGATAGACATGTATATGATCCTGGGTTTAAACTAAACTAAATGTCAGTGTTGAAAAAAAAAGACATCAATGATTTTCTCACAAATGTTCAAGCCTTCTCTTTAACATTTGTGAATGTTGAATACTCACTACTCAGTGGTTGCCTCTTTGAAATTTATACTTAATTGAGAAAAGCCACCTTTCAGGAAAATTAGTACCCTTTTGAGTATAGCCTACTGTCAAAAGACAATATCCCAAGAGGATAATTGTGTAGTGAAGAGCTTAAGATATTGCCAACCCTAGAATTAATAGGATTCCTGCTTCTTACTCAGCTCCCAGATTCCTTGTCCCCATTCTCCCTCATCCATGTATAGTTTTTTCGAAAAGGTAATTTCCAAAATCAATCATATATATGACAAGTCTTGTCTTGAGTTAAGGTCTATGAAGATGGCCTAACACAGTATAAATTCATGTATTGAGAATCAGGTTCATTTGAGGTCACTGTCCTGATGAAGATATTTGTATATATATAACTTAGTAGT